TAAGATTTTTTTTATCTAATTGTGTAGCATATTGTGCATGTTTAATTAAATTATTATGTAATTCTGAATTAACAGAAATGTAAGAAATAAAAAAAATGCAATTATTTTGTTGACAATATAAATTCAAGCGAATCAGCTTAGCTGACTTTTTTAAAAAAGAAAAACTTAAAAGAAATAGTCAAAAAATTATTCTGTTTTAAATATTTTTTATAATTTATTTTAAGATTTTATATTTTACTTTGTTTCTTTGTTTTATTCTTTGATTACAAATTTTATTATTAATTGAATTTATTTCTTTGTTTTCTTTTTAATTACAAACTTTATTATTAGTTGACTTTATTTCTTTGTTAAATTCTAAATTTAAATTCGATTCTTATAAATTATTATTATCCCCGAAATTATGACATATACAGTATATTAGCCTTACGGCATATAGCATTATAACATGTAGTATTGCGGCATGTAGCATTATAACATATATTATAACATTATGGCATATATTATTATGGCATAAAGCATTACGGCAAAATATTATAGCATATAGAATTGAAGATACTTTGTTTTTGACTTTTAGATTTCCGCAATTCTAGATTTTGATTTCCGGATTTCCAATATACCAGAAAATCATATAAATTATTATAGTACGGAAATTTCACTCGAAATAATTGTATTCGCACCTGCACGAAAAATCCATGGAGAACACCACCCGCGTGATCGAAAATAGCAACTAGAACTCTGCTATGTCAAGCAAAAGTTAATAAAAGCAATCAATTTAATTTATTAGTGGGCAAATAAATAGATAAATAAATAAATTAGTGGGTAAAATAAATATTGTAAATAAATAAATAATACTGTATAATAAAGTTATTAACTTTCACTTATTTTATCATCATTATAAAATAATAATATATTTTAAAAATTATATTCATCAGATTTTTATGTTTTGTATCAAACCGATTACTCGAAAAACAGTTATTTAAAAATAATAATGAAATTAAAAACAAATTGTCACTTGAGGGTTGACAAACGTCCAACTCTTTATTAAGTCAAATCCTTTCTCTTCTTAATTCTTAATTTTAAACCGGTACAAGTTCTAATGCCCGTGTCAAGAAAATTTATGGGCTCTTTCATATCCACAGGCTCTACATCATACCTCGAATAAAGCAAAAGCAATGTGGCCTTGAGTTCTATCATCGCTAGATCTCTTCCGGGGCCTGTAAGAAGTTATGAAAATTTTTAAGAGAACGAAATAATATATCAATGTACCGATGGTTTCAATTAAAATGTCAACATACACATTCTCGAGCCCGAACCAAACATATAGAAAGAATTTTTGCTCTCTGGACTTGACTTCAAAAATCGATCAGGATCGAATTTTTCGGGGTTGGACCATAGAGATTTGTGCTTATGAAGAGCCTGAAGGTCTATAAGAAATGTTGAGTTGGGCGGGAACGCGATATCACCGAGCTTAGCTGGATTTTCGTTTCTCTTTATTAAAATGGGGACAGTGGTGAACAATCGATAGGCTATAGATAGTAAAGTCGACAGGTTAAATGACTTTGAAGGCGAAGAACACTATTTGTTAGGAAAAAAAGAACCACAAAACCTTCTTTAATAACAGCCTCCGTGTATTCAAGCATATCAAGATGATCAATTGTAATTTGAGTATCGAGGTTTCTTCCGATGACCGTTTCGAACTCTTTCAACAACTTTTGTTTAACTTCGGGATAATGAGATACATAGTAAACCAAAAAGCAGATGGTACTTGACCCGCTGTTAATCCCGCCAGCCATGACTTCAAAATAATTCCCAACAACTTCTTCATTTGTCATCGGTCTATCGTGAGCATCATCGGAAATTCCTTCGGTGATGTCTTTTTTCGTGTTAACGGTCAGAAACATTGTTAATATATCCGGGGTAAGAGGCCGACCTTCGGGTGTTGCATCAATTTCTGCTCGCCTAACTTCGACTGCTTTAAGAATATAATCGTCTAACCAACTGAATGTCCGTTTGTATTTTTTGGAGAGCAAATTAGGCCCCGGAAAGTTACGTATATATGCAGGGAAAAAGATGAACCATTCCAGTATGACTTTTACGAAATCAATCGCGTTTATAAACTTTTCACTTTCTCCAGGGGAAGGTATGATCACATTAGCTTTCTTGTTCACTTGATTATAAAAACTGGCCAATGCGTAGGTGGATTTGCTGCTGCTAGTTATCGCGATGATGTCCATAAAATATCTTCTCATCCATATTGAAAAATCTATGACCGATTCTTCCCCTAATTGATCCCAATATCCGCACATCTCCACGAACCCGGTTTGCACGGCGGCCACTGCATGCTTGGGGAATGACGGGGATAACAAAGCTTTTGAGAAAAACTTGCGATTATATTGCCAATCATTATAACTTATATTAAAAACGATTCCTCTATTGAGCATTCCTATTTCACTCAATCCACAGTTTTCATCTACACGTTGGTGAAAATTGCTATGAACTTTCGGTGTCATCGTGTCTTTCGCCATCTCTTCATTGCTCAAACAGATGTGACGCTCGCCTCCCAGGTAGAGTTCGAAGAATTCGCCGTATTCTTCGCGTAGATTACACATTGTGTGAATAATTCCATTTTTAAGTACATAATGAAGGTTTCCGATAAGTGGTAGTGGTAAGGGACCTGGCAAAGGATTCTCGCGGGTGAGATACTTATAATAGAAATAGGCGATGTAGGTTGCTAGTGCTACCACCATAATCGATGGCAATTCATTTAAACTTACACTATCCAGTGACCCCATAATTCGCAAATTTTTATTTTAGCAAGAGAATCAATCGGTTTTATTCCTATAGGGGGATTTTTCAAGGCGAATACTATGGTAGAAATATGTTGCAAGAAGATATTTATAAGGTGCCGGAGAAACGCAATTTATCAAATTCGAGATATCGATAATTGTGAAGCCTGATGTTTGCAAATTTAAAAAAGGTAAAGTGTAAATGCATAAATAATATATACGCGTGATTTTAAATATTAATCTCTCTCTCTCTTTTTTTTTTTTTTTTTTTTTTGGCTAGTAGATTATGTCAATAATCAACACACCCAAAAACTATCCAAAAAAATTTTGCTGAAAGCGTTTTATGAAGAATCAGGAGACAATGATAAAGAGCCGACTGTTTACCTACGTGATTGTTTTTAAATAATCTATACGGTTATGTAAACATGAAAGTCTATGATATGCATGAAATTAGATCGAGTCGCAGGAAAGATCTGAAATCAGCAAAATCATACAAAATACTTCGAACAAATACTCCTCGAACTTTTGTATTCGCAAGCATTTTAATGAGAAATTCAGAAATTTCACGATGCCGCGAGAAATGAAACCAATCGTATGAATGATTAAAAAGAATCCGGATTACGTGGTATTCAAATTATAGAACATTTGTGATGTACTGTATTCTATGAGCTGAGCAATTTTATATAAGCATAGAATTTGGCGGTGATAAGCTTTGTGATTACGTAAATTGCACAATTTGCGCCAAATAAATTGGAGTTGGCATCTTTCCTATCATTATCCGATTCCTCAGCTCGATTTGTTGATATTTGTGACCGTTACTGCATAAAAAAAAACGAAAGCATCATTCCTAGGCTTATGTTTTTTAACGGGAGAACGCTCTAAACATATGAATTTACAATTATTAACGATAAGTGTAAATTAACGAGCTAAAAAGACAATACTGTACATACGGGATATAATGTAGATAGATACATACTGTATACTGTACGCTGACTCAGTATATCCCATAAGCATTACGTATTTACAGTACTGTACATTAGCAATTAATATTAGCACTAGTACTTGTATAAAATTCAAGGTATGATTCCCTTTTTCGTTGCCCGACTTTATTCTAGCCTCTTCGTTTGAGTTCTTTTCCATCCAGAAATCTAGTGGGGAAAACGAACGATATGCAGTATGTGCCATACATAATTAATTACTGTATGCGTGATCCATCCAGAAAATCCATCACGCGAGTCACCAAATGCAAATTTCGTTATCTTGTTAAATTTGGATATAATTCAAGTAGAGTAAAAGTGAACTAGAAAAGTTGGAGATTATGATCGTTCTATCACGACATAAAAATCAATTTCTCATATCTGTACCTTTGGAAATATGTGGGAAAGCTCACATCAAAGCGAAAGTTGAAAAAAAATGGAACCGATTTCATAGTGCATGTCGGGCTCGTCGTGGATCTTTGTACAATTTTGTTCATAGAGATTTGAGCCTTCAAACCAAATGCAGTCATATTAATCGGGCGAGCTAAATTCTTTATGATCGATCAAGTATGATAATAGTGTTGCTGACTGCTAAAAAATGGTATATATTGAAATACGCGGTACGTGAATTTATACAAGAAATATGGAGATCTTCAAATCCCCTTTCGGGCTTTATGAATTATTCGCATTATTGCTTACAGTAAGCATATTCAATTATTATTATAAATTTTACACGAGAAAAAATCCGCTTCCCGCTCCATTTCCTCTCCCATTCGTCGGTCACGTGTTAAATTATCTTCTCTATAGCAATAATTTTCTCGATTATTGTCGACTATTGCAATCTAAATATGGTGATGTTTACGAATTATGGCGTGGAAGCAATCGCATGATAGTTGTCTCCAAGATAGAATATGTGGATAAAATTTTATCACCATCGACCAAAAGTAAATATCCGACGAGAATTCCTAGCGAAGGCTTAAGGGGTCTAGGTATTTCTGGAAACTCCAATGTCAGTAGTTGGAAATTCAAAAGGCAATTCCATGCCCAGACTGTAGAAACGTTAGGTTTCTTGAAGGAGTCTGTCGGTCGCATACAAATAATATTTAATGAGATGGAGGAATACTGGAGGTCTGGATTTGAAGATAATAATATCACCGATTTTTCAGAATGGTCACATAGTCTCGCCATGGATATCATATTTGATACCATCGCCGGGAAGAAGACGTGGTCCACCGCCTCGTATTTTTTGACCATTTCTCATGGACCAAAGTCAGTGAAGTTACCAAATTTTGATGAAGAAATTATTGGCGAGTCTTCGGAATTGACGAAATTATTTGCAATGCACCTCAAGGCAATAGATTTTGTTACAATATATCCTAAGATAGTGAGGAATTATATCCCTAGTTTCAGGGCAACCCAGATGGAGTTCTTAGAAGCAATTGAGTTGTTATACAGAAAATTGGATAGCCTTATTCGGGAAAGGAGGAAAGAAATAGAAAACACACCAACAGATGAAAATTTGAAATACGACATGCTAACGCTATTGATTACGGCTAATACGGACAGAAGCATCTCGGATATAAAGGACGTCAAGAAAGAGTTTACGAATCCTTTAACAGATGAGGAGATACGCGAGATTATCATAGAAGCCCTGGCAGGCGGAGTCGACACTGTAGGAGACATCTTGACTTTAATAACGTTTTTTAAATTCCTCAAAGAGATCTAACAACCGATTTTCATAATTTCATATATACAGACCGCAAATGTGTTTAACTTTACTATCTATTACCTCGCTCGCTATCCAGAAGTTAAAGATCGACTATGTCAGGAGATCGATGATCTTTTTGGTCAGAATCAAAACAGATCACTTACATATGACGACTTATCAAGTCTGAATTATTGCGAGGCTGTGATTAAAGAAGCGTCTCGTGTGACAACACCGGTACCTTTCATAAGTCGTCTCAGCTCTGAACCAGATAAAATAGAAAACATGGAGTGGGGTGCAAATACCGGTTTTCTGATTTTTATTTCGGGAGTTCATTTAAACAATAATTATTGGGAAGAACCAGAAAAATTTAATGCCGATAGATTCGTCAGCACCGATGAGCAAAAAGAACAGAACGGAAAGAGTCCCTTGCTGAGTTGGGGCGGTGGAATAAGAAAGTGCCCTGGCACTAAATTTTCAATAGTTATGCTAAAGTGCATGTTGGTTTTAGTGTTTAGAAATTGGGACATTGAATTGGCAGATAAGAATTCTCCATTGGAATTTGTGAACAGTAGCGTCTTTAGGAGTGCGAAAAACCTGATGGTTAGGGTTAAGCCTCGAAAGAGTAAGACCTAACGGTTATATTAAGTGGGTCAAACCATATGCCAAGCTGATTTTTAATCTTAATGTCCAATTTTTTTTTTTTTTTTTTTTTTATTATAATTTAATAATAAACGGCATAATTTAATTTTCATCAACGATTGATTGTATTCGTTTGTTTATTTTAGTCGTTATTGTCATATTTACCTTAACCAAATAATGTTATCTACTGTTGAGACAAAACTTCTTGCCCTTTTAATTTTTATATTTACAGTATACGTAATTAAATAACCCAACCAATTATTCAAATAAAATGAAAATTTGAGTATAATATTTTATATGCAAGGTACAGTATAGTGGCCAAACGGCGGCCGAGTCAGTCGCTTAGTGCCATCACCCATCGCGTAACCTAAATGCGCACAATACAACAGACAAAAGACTCTCGACTCGAGACGTGGATTTGTCGATTTCTTGAATGAACACGTTCGTTCGCATAATGAAATACTGTATATATACTGTTTGTGGTTAATTATTTTTTCAATTTTAGTGACCTTTCTATTAACATTTTTTATTAATTTTTGATTAAAAATTTTATTACTATTTATTTTAATAAATTCAATTAATCAATTGATTATTATATTAATTAATCATTAAAAATCGTATTAATCAAGGTTTTAATTAATAAATTTTTTTATATAACACATATCTTTGTTTTTTTATATTAGGTGTTTAATAAAAATTTTTTAAAAATATATTTTTTTCTTTTTTATCAAATATACAGTATACAATACAGTGTTACACTTATTCCTTATTTTTTTTTTTTTTTTTTTATTATTTACTTTTATAAAAAAATCAAATGACTCTTTTAAATAGTAAATGAAAAAAATTTATGATTGTTTGATTTTTTTAAAAAAAAAATATATATCACAGATTCCATATATTAGATATTACTTGATTCAGTAAACCAATTTTACAAACAAATTTTCTTTATGCATTATTTTATCACAATTCTATAAAGTAAATTGATTTTTAAATCCCTTAATGATTTGTTATTTTTTTTTTTTCGAGATATCAAACATGCCTAGACTTTATAACCGAATTTTTTTTTTTTTTTTTTTTTTTTTTAACGCTCAAAAACAGGCCCACTTTATTAGGTGTACTTGGGTACATATTACTTTAAATCACAAAACAATTTTGTAATCAACTTTCTCTATGTAGGAATCCCATTACCTTCTAA